GGGAATCCTTCACTGAGCTCTGAGCTGAGCAAAGATGATAAATTTGCTTATCTTTTTGCAGAATATAGCAATGGCATTATGTTATATTAAACTGTGACTTTCACGGGTTAACCTGGGTGTGTTTCCTAAACCAGCAGCAGATGCTGAACAGCTGACTATTCTGTGAAAATAGTTAATCTGCAGATGAAAAATCTGAAACACAGAAAGTGGAACATGTAAACTGATCAACTCAAAGTAAAACACAGTTAACCTTAAATACCAGTGATACTCTGTTTACTCTGATTCACAACCGGAGGGCCTTTAAACAAATGAACAGTCGTGCACTACTTCCCCAGCTGCAGCCTCAATTCATCCATTATCTACCAGAAGTGCTGTCGAGTCTAAACGAGTGTGTGGTCTCAGCTTGTGAATTGGAGATTATTCATGTAAACTTCAGGAGTTGGATCAGACCTCACAGGTTCTCTGGTTATATAAACCCCCTGCACTAAAATCTGTTTGTTCTCGTTTTCGTGCCCCACTCTGCCTTTTTCAATTCATTAACCTCTCATTAGTACACGAGGATCTGCCTCCCAAACCGTAACTTATTCCTTCGGCAATTATCTACTAGAAATGCTGTAAAGTCTAAATAAGGCTACGGTATCAGCTTGCAAACAGAGGACTCTGCTTTCGCATGGATCATACAGAAATGATTCGGACCATGCAGCTCTGCTCTCCCAGTTTGTAGCTGTCCACATCTCTGCAGCGATCTCGTTTGCAGCCCGTGGTCTTATATAATGTTTATATAATTGTTATAGGATGTTAGTTAAAGAAGATGAGTCTCATTCTTCCAATCATCACTCATAAAACACATCACCTAATGCGGTGCTGAATAATTCATTCATATAAAAGGAGTGGCATTTGACAACTTACGAGTGATTTTGAAGTCTCATGAATTAAACATCGTGGCTCTTGCTTGTCTGTGGATGCAAATGGCAACATAGGTGGTGATGTTAATGCCAGTGATGCATCTCTGAATGACAGCCTGAGTAAAACGAAGAAAGGGCCTTGATGAGGGCTAAGTGAGGATAACAGGGGAATACTGATGGAGGATTGCTTTGTATTGCTCATTTTTGGGGTTATTAATTCAAAAGCTGAATGTAAGTAGAAGCTCTCTTAGACAAAATCTACATGGCAAAGACGTCTCTTCACATGTTGTAGTAAATGATTTCCATAGCCTGTTCTGTTCCTCGGTGATGTTGTAGTTATGGAGGTTAATGAATCATACTGTGAGTATTTATTATGCATAGAGCCATGGAAACGGGCTCTCGTGAGGTCTGCTCTCTGCAGTGTCTCAGACCTCAATGACTTCAGCTCTTAACCACGGATCTACTTTTGAGCCACAGCAGAAAATATACCAGCTGTACAATTTGCCCAAAGGTGCATGCACTCCAGGCTCATGCCAGTGTTGTACTTTTTGCAATTATGTGAGGGTGCACTTGCATCCGGGTCATGCAGATTGTGTCATTAGTGGGTAAACAATTTTGTTTGGAAGTCCACGTGCCTGCAGCCTACAAGCAGTCACTACAGTAGAGTCCCAGACTGTGCAGCACATTCTGGGTGTGTCCTCCAAGGAACAGACTATGAAATAATGTAATAAGAACAAGACTGAGTGCATTGCAAATGGTGACTATAATCCTGGACTCAGGATACAAATCAGATCTCAGGTCTTACTCAGATCACATTATTCTTGAGAAGTGTGATGTAATCGCCATATTGTTGTGTACAGTTTGAGGAATATATTCCAAATATACCCTTATACTCTCACCCCCAACTAGTCACAAGAGATGGCGGCGGCTCCCTAAACTTGGTTCTTTCAGAGGTTTCTACCTGTTAAAAAAGAGTTTTTCCCTCCCACTGTCACCAAGTGCTCACTCGGTTCTCTTTATTTTACAGTCTTTATCTTAAATATAAAGCACCTTTAGGTGATTGCCGCTTAGATCTATATAAATACAAATTAATTCAGTTGAGTATATATTATACTGCAGCAAGCAGGGGTGAGTTTAAAAGGCGGGC